GCGCGGGAGGGTGAGAGAATTCACCAGAGCCAGAGCGGGGTGCAGAGTAGGCAGAGGGACCGAAGTACACTGCTGAGGGGAGCAGCGGGCGGCAGGAGAGGTCTGCGCGCCATGTGGGACCCTCCTCCTGTGGCCGGGGAGCAGCCGGGGATCGAACCGGCGCCGCAGAGGCCGCGGGCAGCTTCGCAACCCAGCGCTCAACCGCTGCGCCACCGGGGAGGCCCTTTACTATTACTTTTTGAACTTAGCATTTATTGCATATTCACTTTAGAAACTTCCAAGTCCTCAAAATACAAGGTCATCTTACAGGTTACTTTTGAATTTATAGTATATTTACTTGTCTGCCTTACATAGCATTTCACGTACAGTCTAGGGATATATAATTTCACTTGTCACCTTGCAGCTTTTGTGCTATTGTTGTACATTTTATTTCTCTATCTGTTACAAACCACATATTACGGTGCTTTCATTTTTTTGCTAGTCAATATTCTTTTAAAAAGAATTGAATACTAATTGATAATGTTACTACTCCCATTGTTTTTCATTTCTTTGTTTACATCCAGATTTCCAGCTGGTATCACTTCTATTCTGGCTGAAAGACTTTTTTCATTTATTGCAGTGTGGGTGTTTTAGTGATGGATTCTTTCAGTTTTCATATATTTGAACAAGTCTTTATTTCACCTTTGTTTTTGGAATCTATTTTTGTTTGCCCTAAAACCTAACATTGTCTATTTGTCCCTTGTTTATCTGATCAGTCTTGCCAGAGGTTTATCAATTTTATTCATTTTTTTCAAAACCAATTTTGGCTCTATCTTCTCTATTGTTTATTTTCCAGTTTATTAAATTCTGATTTCATTTTCTTCCTTAATAAACTTTCGTCAACTTTATTAAACTATTACTTTTCTAACTTTTCATAATGACATTTTGTAGCTCATTAGTTTTAAAACTTTTTTTCCTAATAGATTTTTTGTGAGGGCTGCTTTATCTGCGTCTTATATATTTAAATATTTAAAATCTGTTATTTTTATTATTGTTCTGGTATAAAAAAACTCTTAAATTTTTATTAAGTCCATCTTTGAAACATAAGCTATTTACAAATGCGATTCTAATATTCTTTGTTTTTTTCCCTAATTATCTTTTCATTTCCTAGCTTCATTGAGATTTAAAAAGTCTATACCTTTTAAAATACTGAACTTTGTTTTATGGCACAATATATAGTCAATTTTTATAAATTTTCCAAGTGTGTTTCAAAATAAAGCACATTCTGTAATTGTTGGATATAATATGTATGAGATTAAATTTAAGAATTATATAATAACGCTAAAGACACAAAATGAAAATTGAACATCAAGCAAACCATTTACATACCAATTTTACACCTTCATAGCTGATTGCTCTTCAAAACTATAGTTATATATTTAATCCCTATTCAACATCTCCACTTGGATGTCCAATGTGATATAGAGCCCCCTTTCACTCCCACTAAAACTTGCTATTTCCTCAGGCCTGCCCACATCCATCAACATCTATACCCCTCTAGACGCAAATCCAAATATTATTCTTTTTTGCTGGTTCACTTTTCCCACTCACTCCATTTAATCCAGTAGGAAGTCCTTTTGATGTGGTCTCCAAAACACATGTAGGATCTGTCTACTTCCTTTCATCCTCACTACCACTACTCTCATGCAAACAACTCATGAAGACTCATAATAATGGCTTTCTTGCTTTCTCTCTCTCTCCTCCAGTTCTCTATAGTTACCAGGGCAATCTTTTAGAATCATAAATTATATAATGCTATTTCCCACTTAAACCCTTTCAATTATTTTTTCACATCCTTAGAATAAAATTAAAGCGCCTTACCTTGGTTATAAAGCCTAGATATTCTGGCTCTGTCTGTCTCCCCATGTTCTGCAGCTACTCTGCCCTTCTAGCTCTTCCTCTAAACCACAAAGCTTGTTCTCTCTCCCCTTCGGGCCTGCATTAGACAGGATAAGGTAAATTATGTCACTGTAATACATATCCCCAAATCAACCAAGGTATTCAGTTTGGCTATGGAATTATCTGGGGGCAACAGTTGTTCATGAGGGGACTCTAATTCAGACTGCCTTAATTTTGATATTGCACCAATCCAGCACGCAGGCTCATCCATGATTGTTGTAGTAGAAATAGAGGATCTTACATTAGCCTGGAAATTATTTCTATCACATCCTCTCACTGCCTATTTTCCAAAACTTGTCCATAAACCCATCTACTTACAAGACAGCAGCGAAGTGTTGCTTTCTTATGTACCAAGCTGAAGTTAGAGCACTTAACAGAACTGCTCCTTATTTCCCTATTTCTGGAATGTACTTCTAATTTTACATGGCTTGTTTCCTATTGGCATTTGGGTTTGGCCTCAAGTACTTTCTTAGGGTATTATTGGCCACCCAGGTGTTCTGTACTCCAACTAAACATTTTCTGTACATAACTTTCAACTCTGATTTAGTTGTTGAGCACCTTGTCCTCCATCTTGCTTACTCTGGTATGATCTTAATATTCATTGACTAATTTAATAACCACTTAAAACATAATCTGATAATGGGATCCTCCCTCCTATTAATGGATACTGATAATCCTCAAGATAAAGTTTACATTTCTTTGGCATGATATGAGTATTCGTAGTATGTCTGATTACCTTTCATTTATCCCTAGGGGCTGCCACTGGGTATATGGTAGTAAACTTTTCCATTTCATATGTTAGGATTTGCAAGCTATCATTGAATCTTTGATATTAGTTTGGATCTGGAACATGGGGTGTTAAGATTAATTCTTTGAGCAACTGGGTAAATTTTGATTATTTTTTAAAATAGGGCAGACTAGAGATGGACTGAAAGAGGAAATCTAAACTTCTGCTTTGGTCGTGCTAGAACTGAATGCCCGAGACACCCAAGCAGAGATGTTGAATAGATCTAAATGTAAATACCACCAACATACGTGTGATAGCTAACTAAGAGATTGGATGAGATCCCCTAGGAGGGGGGTACTGCTAAAGAGAGACTCTATTACTGTATGTAATAGAGTGAGAAATTCCACTGGTAGAGATTGGAAGATCTAGCAAAGAGAAAAGAGGCGAGTAAAAAATGAGGAAACCAAATACACTGTAATGTCATGAAGTGAAGAATGTGTCATGAGCTGTTCTGTGAGGTGACAACTATCTAAGAAACATCCACTGGGTTAGAGGCATTTCAGGGGAATGGTCAGAACAAAGCTTGAGGCAATACAAATATCAGTTTGACATCTGAAACTAGAATGGGTTACCTATTAAAAAAAAAAAAAAGACCACATAGCAATCAGGTTATGAAATGCCCCTGTTCAAAACCTTCTAGAATTCTCTCACAATCTCCCACTAAAAATAGACATGCAAGTGATTCAATACCTAAGTCCCAAAGTCAGTAGGCTGAGATGAATTCTAGTAGGACAGCAGCAGTGAGGATACAGAAAAAGACTTGAGGGACATTTTGAAAACAGAACTGTAGAGAATTGAGAATGGATGGTGAAAATGAGAAAGTAAGGATGACTAGTTTTCTTTCTTAAAATACTGGATAGGCAGTGGAAATAGCAGTCATCAAGCTAGAACAGAGAGTAAAAGGTTTGAGGAATGGGGGGAAATCAGCTTGGAACACATTGGAATTTGAGGTGTCTGCAGAGATGCACTTTAGGCGGCCGGATGTATGAGTGCAAAGTGAAAACTGTTACTAAGTAAGTGAATTACTCTGCACTAGTATCATAACCTTCTTGGGTCTGTTTCTACATTTGTAAAACAAAGGTGTTATACTAATCTCTAAAGTGTCTTCCAGCCCTAAAAGGTCAGTGGACTTAACTTTATCAGCAATCTTAATATAGTTTACATCCTTATTTTATTCTTGGAACTTTGGAGTATCATCCTATCTGCATGCATTTTACTTTGATAATTTAACAAGAATTCCTATAACAAGGAAAAGGAGAGAGGAAAATACGGAGGGCACGAGAAGGGGTTTATGTTTGACAAATAACATCCATAAAATTCTTCTGTATCACATCATTTTAAAAAGAGAAAAACATTTAAATTAAAATCTTGCATCTTGGCTATGCAAAATTAAGAAGTAACGGAAAAGAAAGTTAAACAGGTCTCCTAAAGTTGTGTCATCCAAATGATTTTTTTTCAAATTAAAAATTCTGATATTCTTCCTACCCCACCCCTGCCTCCCAACTGTACATAGCTTCTTGGTTATTGTAAATTATTTCCAGGTTAAAGTTAAATTTGAGGAAAGAGAGGACACGCAAATAAGGCATAGCCCTAATACTAAATTCAACCATTTCAAAGACAGTCTTGGAGAGTAACTAACATATGAAAGGCTCTCACTTGAGAAGTACAAAAGATTCTTCTGAGAGCACAGCCTTCTAATGCCACAAGTTGCACACTGCATTGGTGAAAAAATACCCAACAGACTGAAATCTTTAGGGAAATGCCTCTAATTGAGCAAAATGAACAATGCACAGAGTGGACTGCATTTTCTTTAGTGCTTTCTATTAGTTCAGAACACAATTTATTTATCTTGGTTGCATTATCACAATTTTATTTTTCCAATTTTAGGTATCCCCATATGCCATTTTGTGAAAATTTTCACAGCCTAATGAGATAGATGAATAGGAAAGATTCAGAAATGAAAGTGAGAATTAAGAAATAACTTCCTTATAAAACTGTAAGTAAAATTTTAATGGAAAAATATGATTATCCTAGGAAGCACATCTACAACCCCCCAAAACAAAAGGCAAAATGTGTTATGACTAAAAAGCACAGGACTAAGAATTTGGTTCAACCTCCAATGCCTCTTATGTGATCTTGAAAGTATTTCTTAACTGTTTGAATCCTAAGTCTCTTTAGTAAAATGAGGGCAATTATAGTTATTATAGATCATTTGAGGATTAAGTGATCATTTAAAATATATTTCATAAAGACTACTATATACAAAAGAAAACACCATTTCAACTAAAATTTTGTTAGACTTTTATTATGAATATATTTTTTGAACCATCATTTCAAGGATATATCTAAACTGCAAATCTTAAGAGCAGTTAAATTTCAAAGGAAATGACCCCAGTTTTTGTATTAATAACAATATTTTTTACTTTAAGGACTACTGTGTGCTTGACACTATATTAACAGTCAAGTAGGAACACTAGTTTCAAATTCTTTGATGTAAAAACTATTCTACTTACTTGTTAATATTAACTTGATGTGAAGAATATAAAGCATGTTGCTGAAAACCTGTAAATAAGCACGTGAGACTACAATTCATTCATGGTAAAGGTATAAATGACTAATTCCTGATTTTTCAAATAAATATAATGTAGTAATACAGTAAAAAGTTATTCTGGTGTTGAAATACACTGATGTTTTAAAATATTATTCTAAAAATTTTTTTTAGTTTATAATCTAAACAAAACTCTGAAACTTACTTGGGCACAAAAAATTCAGTAGTAGCCTTGGAGTAAAAATTTCACATCTTTAATTTAAGGGGTTAAACCAGACTTAGCTGTAATTTATTGTTCCCAAACCAACAAATATACTGAATTAGGTAACAAGACTATAAAAACTTGGATACAAAGATGAATAAATAAGTCATTAAGATGAACTACACATGATCTTTCAGTTAAAAATATACCTTAAAAATTATGATCAAGTTTTCTTTTTACTACAGCCTTCTCCTTTAGTATCTCTTATATGATAGTATGTTATGCTTTATAAGAGTAAGAAAAAGTCCTTTTATATTTCATGATAGGTTTAATCAGGTAATTAAAACAAATTCTTATATCATTTGATATGTCCAATTACATGGGTATGATGTAACAAAAACAGTTACAAACTTATATATATATGCATATTTACATTAAATACCCAAACTATCAAGCTAGTAAACTACTTAGGAGATACATTGTGACATGAGTTAAACAATTTTTCATTGCTTATTAGAAAGAATGCAGTCAAGCTTCTAATGGAAATTATATACAAGTGAGGCACTTTCGAGGTCAAGAATAGAAAGCAAATGACACTACACACTGGCAATGTTCACAAAAATCTATGTTTATCTTTAATACAAAGGTTTTCCAACTAGATTATTCTTGAAAAATTTAAAAACTAGCAACTTACGCAATTTAAGGAGCTTTCGAGGACAATGGGTAACATTTATCAAGTCTATCAAAGCATATGAAAGTTTTATAACCACCTGGCTGCTAGGCAAAAAGTACCTTATACCTTAAAGCCCTTTTTTTGGTTTATATTCATCACCTCAGGTTGTAATTTCCTTTCTGTGTGTTTGACTCATTGCAAAACACCTTATGGTGATAATATTGTGGTTTATAGACCAATTTTTTTTAGTGCAATAATGCAAGTTTCTAGTGTTTCTTCCTTATACTTAGAAATGTGATTCGTAGAAATTAAAATGAGAATTTTTAATGAAGAAATTTGTTTCCCAAGTAACTCAAGTTTTTAATGTTTTAAATAAAAAAGTAATGCTTGCTTAATGTATCTTTGGGCTAAAGTTTAGAAACCCAAGCATAAGCACACATTCATTCCAAAGTGAAATAACTAAATTTTAACAAAAGGAACATTTGTGTTCAATTGAGGGGTGGGAAAGAAAAGTAAAAGACTTACCTAAGATGGCATTATACACATGAATTATGAAGTATTATCTGTATTACTTCCAAAGTTCTAGGCACTGCTGAATAACCAATGAAAATAGGTAGTTTCGAGATTTCCCCCTTTTAACTCCTGTTTCAACAATCATCCCAGAGACATACAAACACACTCTTTCTGAAGTTGTTATGATGAAATACAGGTGACGTTTATTTTTTTAAAAAATTCTCTCTGGTAATGGGAGGAAAAATAATACCATTTTGGTAATGGGTTTTGTGAATTAAAAGAATTGGTTCTATAAATGCTTTAGCACTAAATGCTCTAGCACATCCATTAAGTTTGATTGCCAGTTCCAAATATCAACAAATATTTTAAAACAGGTTATGTAAGAAAAAAGTGCTTAAAATCTTTCAATGACCAAGACACATTAGGGTAAAGATTCATTTTACAGTTCCTTTGAGATACTTCTTATTCCTGTTTTCTCAATTTGAAGGTGGTCGCCACTTAAAAAGCCCTTTACTGGCCGTGGTGGTGAACCCTGTCGGACCCAATTACCATCTCAAATCTCAGGCCCATAAATCATCCAGAAGGTGGTGCTGAAGTTCCACACCTCATATTTCTTCAGAAATCAAGTGATTTCCCCCTTCAAGGCAGGAAAAAATATCATTATCAATTCTGAACACAAGCTATCAGACCAAATCAGTCTCTTTCTTGTCATGTAATCTAGATGATTTCATTTTCAAAATTTAAAGCAATTACTGATCGGTTTTGTTCAGCGATTTGCTTATATTACCAGATTAAAAACAAAGAGAAAGGTTTTAGAGGAAAAGCAAATTGGCAGTGCCAAGTTTATATTCAGAACAAGAAAGTGTTTCTGAATGTACCTATACACATGTTTAAGAATTGGAAATTTAAACCCATTGGTTTTTCACATACAGACTCTCATTTATGCAAGAGAAAATTTCTACATAGGGATTCAGGTAACATATTATCTGTCAGTCTTCTAGACTGATTTGGAAACTGGCTGTGTTAGCTATAAAGATCCAAGGTAAAATAAAAACCATTTCATCACCATCATCTTTAATGAAGAAACTTGTTTAAAATTGTAAAGGAAAAAATGGGGATGGCAAATTCTTAGCAGCAAAGTGGTTAAACAAATTGAAAATATTAATGCACAAACATTAAAATATTAAAGCATATATGTTGCATATAAAATACAGTACAGAACCAGGAGTTGCACTATACTGATTAGTGCTTAACAGAAGAAATGATTAAATTTGTTCTTCCCAGAAGTATATACACAGTTCATTTCCACAGCATTTTCCTATAAAGCCAGCAAGTTATTTTCTTCAGTTATTCACACCTTGCTCAAACCTGAATTATAAACTCAACACTTACAAATACGAAAAGTCATTCACAAGGAAAACCAGTATTTCCACTTCACCAATAAAAAGTAATTTTGAAAGTTAACAGTCTATTCTAGGAAACCAAGTTTAGTTGATAACTTCAGGGATGAAGATCATCTGGTGTAGCAGCGTCCAAGTATATAAACAGTAAAAATAAGACTTAAAATTGCTGCTACAGTGTCATGTTTGGATTTAGTTCATCCAATTGATTTTTAGTACAAAACTAGAAATAACCTCTTCTTCATAACATCTATAGTTATCAATATATTTTTCTTCTTTTCAATGTGAAATAATACTTCAAGATGATCTATATACATAATGTTGTCAGTTCAAGCTGTCATATAAATATAAATGCTTTCTTAAAAAAAAGTATTTTACAGACAGATAGTGTTATATACATTGTTCAGTTTGATCTGGGGGCAAAAGAAGAAAGCTAACACAAGTTTAAGTATGATATGTTAAAAGAATGATACATAAATGATATTTTAAAGCCTGCATAGAAAATGAGCTTCAAATGGTAGTGTGACTCTAATTTTCATCACCTCTGAAACTTCAAGCCATTAAAAAAAGGCACACTTCTTAACTTTATCCCTCTAAGGGAATGTTCTTAAAGAACATGGAACTTGGTTAGAGTTTTAATGTAACACTTAGAAGAAATAAAAAAAGACAATTTGATCTCAAAGTTCTTTAAAACAATCTGTTGGGACATTTATCTAACTACCTTGTAAATGAACATCCAGTAACACAATGCCTCTGCGAAAGAAATAAATTTACATGTACAGCTATTTCATTCACCATGTTGGATTAAATATTTTCCTGGGATACTCTAACATACATTTTAGCATAAAATAATTTTGGTTTTGGCCAGTTTAAATGTAATAAAATGCAACTGAGAAAAGTTATTATTCATATTAATAAGCATTAAAGATTAAGCTAAAATATTAGTAACACAGCTGAACATATTCTGGTTTAGCACAATGATAAATGGAGATCTCAGGAGGAAACTTTTATACTAACCATCCAGTTATACATTTTGCCTTGTAAAAACATTTGTAAATGCAGTATGATTTTTTTTGAAGGAGGAAACTCTGAAAGAAAACAACTTGCTGGTTGGATACCACACACACGCGCGCACGCACACACACAAAACCAACAACCCCAAAACCTCACATTTTTCTGTTTACTCAGTCTCTTTTTATATAAAAATAAGTGTTACGTTCCCATCAGAACATTAGACAATTACATCTGTGCTTTAAAAAAAAGTTGGTCACTCAAGGCTATTAGAATATTTTTAAGGATTTCAGATTACCAGAATGTACAGCTATAACTCAATATAAACTGTAGCCAAAGGGAAATGAGAATGAAAGTATCAAATCATTCACGTGGAATATAAATGTTATTAACTAGATGAGTAAAACATTCAAAATATAATGGAATGTGACAGTAGATATATGTACATCTACTTCAGAACTAGGAAGGGGAAGAAAAGTTTAATATGTAATAATTCGTACCTTACTTATATTTAGTTAAATATAAACATTTGTTATTTATACATAAAACTGCTTTCAAAAACAACTAATAAATGATTTAGTTGCACTTGTTTTACTTGTTATAATTCCCAAAGTTAACTTTTCTTAGATTGAAATCAACTGTCCCCTAGTGCACTTACAGCTGATGTCCTAATGAATTCAAATCTTTAAAAGTCCCATCACCTAACGCATAAATATACAAAACTGTCAAAAATTAATCCCTTTTAGTTGGTTCATATTTTATGCCCATTTTTAATAGCCAATGGCCAGAAATGGTTTCCTTTTGCAAATACTCTACGACCTGCAACAAAACACGCCATGCACTTAAGGGTAAAAGTTAGGCATGGCTAGCATTTGTGAAATGCCAAGAACTGATGAGTTCCGCTTCCTCCACGTGTGGCCCCAATGATACCAGGCAAGATTTCATAGTGCTTGCCAAAAGCTTCCACAATCCAAGTAAGCTAATTCCTGGAAACAAAGATTTTAAACTCATTTTGGCACTGGATCCTTTCATCCAGCAGCTTTATGTTTCCCACCACAGCACCCACATGCCTCGCCACCACGATGGCACATTCTTAAAGGGACGTAGCAGCACATACATGGTACAATGAAAGACAAAGCTACTAGAGCTAACCATCGTAAGCAGAACTTGTCATCGCTAGTGTCACATGAACAGGGATCAGAAAAATCTCCCTCTGAGTCTGACATACAATGATACAACATGCTCTCTGCACAGAGCATGCAGCTAACTTGATATATGCATCTTTTAATAGGGTCTGGTGCATCCTGACATTTTCCTCTGCCATTTTCTTCATGATTAAACCTTTCCTGGCAGTATACGCAGCGAGAACGTTCACCGTCTTCTTTTCTTCTTTTCGACTTAGATTTTAATGAGGGAGGCTGTGTCTTAAATACCACAGGGTCTTTGAATGAATTTAACTTAGTATCATCTCCACAAGAGTACAGATAGTCTGGTTTTTTACTGTCTGGTTTAGAAAACTGAATATTGGAGTCAGTATCATCTCTCTCCAAATCATTTTTCCACATGTCAGGATGTCTATAGTCTGCATAGCGACGTATTAAGATATCTCGAGGGTTTATTCTGACAATCTCATCCTCATCTTGAAAGCTGACATGCCGGATTGATTTCAATGGGACCTAAAAAGGAAAAAGATGAAAATTGCAGTAAGGACTGTGAAGGTTTAATTTTATGTGTTGACTTGGCTGGATCAGAGTGCTCAGATAATTGGTCGAACATTATTTTGAATATTTATGTGAAGCTATTTCTTAGATGAGATAAACATTTAAACTGGTAGACTATGAATGAGGCAGATTATCCTCCATGATGCAGGTGGACCTCATTGCATCAACTGAAGGCCTTAAAGAATAAAGACTGATGACCTTTGAGTAAGAAAGATTTTGCCCGCAGAACATCTTTGGACTCAGATTACAACCCTTCCTTGGGTCTCAAGCCTGCTAGTCTTTCCTGCAGATTTTGGATAAGTACCTCCATGAGTCAATTCCTTAAAATAAATCTCTGTACACAACACATTGTGTTGGTTCCGTTCCTCTGGAAAATCCCAACTCATACAGATTTTTGCTACCATGAAGTGGGGTGTTGCTGTAAAAAAAACAAAAACCTGAAAATGTGGAAATGACTCTGAAACTGGGTAACAGGTAGACGCTGAGCAAAAAGGGAACCAGAACTTAAAAGAGTTGGAATATTTTCAACCTATCCATATTACAAAAACTCATAAAATATGCTTTGGAGAGAATGCCAAAGGTATAGCTGAACAAATGAAAGATAGAAACTCATGGATCCAATCAATCATCTCAGCTAAAATACTGCCAGGTTGGAGACTGAAGGGGACAGAGATGGCGATAGCCTGGTAGTGCTGTTCTTACCCCTGTGCCACCAGGGAGGCCCTAAAGCAGACAGAGTTGGGATAAAATGAAGGAAGGCTGTTGGATTTCTAGGATTTACAGGTCTGGCCAATAAAGAGTTCACTGGCTAAGAACATATGGTATTCTTTAAAAAAAAAAAGAGAGAGAGAATGAGTCTGAGCTGGGGTCATCCATAGGGCAGGGATATTTCTTTGGTTTGGGGTCAGAAAGACCAAGGCCTCACAAATGAGGATATTATACTGGGGGTGAGGTTACTATCCATGTGCCTTAAGTAGAGAACATCAGGCCCAAAAGGGTTATTCTAGACCTTTGAAATCCAATGGAATTTGCACGGCTGGATTTCAGTCCTATTTGGGAACCAAGACTCCTTTTGGAATGGGAACATTTATTCTATGACTTTCCTATCGGTGTGTTTTAGAAGCACATAAACTATTTTGGTTCAAAGGTTCCCTGGTGGAGAATTTTGCCTTAGGATGAAACATACCCTGAAGTCTATCCATACTTTATTTTGGTGAGATTTGGAACTTAAGAGTTAATGTTGGAGTGGATTAAGAATTTTGGCTATTGTTAATGGGAGCGAATCTGAGAAGGACAAGAATTTGGAAGGATCAGCAGATGCAATGTTATGAGCAGAATTGTATTCCTTCCAAATTCATATGTTGAGGCCTCACCCCTCCCGTACGTCTCAGAATGTGACTATACTTAGAGAGAGGATCTTTAAATGGTGATTAAATTAAAGTAAGGCCCTTAAGGTGGGCCCTAATCCAGTTTGACTGATGTCTTATTAGAAGAGGAAATCTGGACACACAGAAACACCAGAGATATGCATGTTCAGAGAAAGACCACATGAGGACACAAATGTGGCCATTTGCAAGTCAAATAAAGAAGCCTCAGAAGAAACTAAATCACCAATACCTTCATCTTGTACTTCCAATTTTCAGAATCATGAAAAAAGTTTTTTGATTTCAAGCACCTAGTCTGATACTGTTGATATGCAAACTAATACAAAGACACATTTTTAACTCAGCTATACAAAAGTCTTTGAAAATGACTTTAAACATGTATCTCCCACCCTTCTAGAGAGATTTCTCTTTGAGGTCAAGGAGCAAAGTAAATTTTAAGGGGATAAATTAAATGGGGTCCAAATCAAATAATCTTTCTTTTCACACACAAGAGTGGGTTTCTGATAGTTAATATTTACCTCCTAGTCATTTGTGGTAAGGCTACAAATGAGCTACTAAACCAAGCTGGAACAAACTTCTATTCCTCATATATTTGGAATTGGGAGTTAAAAATATTTCAGGTCTGTATTAAAGGTGCAGTGAGGGGTGCAGTTCATTTATTTAACCAAATACAATTTCTATTGCTTCTATCCATTTTTAAACACACTGGAACAAACCAGAAATCTGGATGCAAATATAGGGCTTATAAACATCTATGCAGTAACTTTATACACCAAAACATTTTTTCTAGTACAAATCAACTATACAAGGAACTAGAAGAACTGGAAATTTTTACTTATATATTATTTACATTTCCTATGAGAAGATTAAAAACTTAAGATTACTCACCCTATTTTGGGACTTTAGGCTTCCACATTCCTTGGATATTTGCCGTTGTGCATATTCTATATTCCTGCCCTGAATGTCTAGGCCTGGATGACTGAATGTTATCTAAAATATAAACAATTTCTGCATAAGTGACGAAGGACTACATTTCCTATTTTTAATAAAACTGTACACACTGCATATTCCAAAACTTCATAATTTACTGCTACTAAAGTTTTTCAAAATAGTCTTAATAAAAAGCATTATTAAAACTTAGGCATTTACTTATACACTTAAAACACAACATAAATCAGACTTGTGGTTTCTGGTTCCATATTTGAGGAGTTTAAAAAATCTGCCACTCTGTCTGATCAGTAAGTAAAAACCTGAACAGGAGGGAAGAAAATCAGCAACTCCTCTTGGCTCCATGACAAGGGGATACAAGGCAAACCAAGGTTGCCAAGACTGTGGAGATGAGTGAGTAAAGCGAGTCAGAGAAGAAACTCCTGAGTGGAAAAGCCAGTGCTGGAGCTAGGAAAATCTGAAATATAGTCAACAAATTGCAGGAAGCTGTGGGGCCAACTCTAAGAGTTAAAAACTCTGGGTGGACTCAATCATAGTAGAACTCCCAAACTTTTGTTGAACTTACTCCTCGCTCAACCAGGTTACCAAAGTAAGTATCAGAAAAATGTCAGCATGCTTCCATGCCACCATGGGAATGATGGCAAAGGGAACCATTTTTAAATATGGCAAAGCACTCTGTTCTTAACAAGACCTGACCTTAAGATGAACTACTTAACCAGATCCTGATTTTCAGCAGTATTATTGGAGCCTAAACTAGGGGAAGGGAGAAACCAATTTCTGCCAGTTCTAACCATCTGATATTCGTAAAGGCAGTGGGGAAGTGGGGAGAAAAACTGAGAAACACTTGTGAAATTCAGTCCAGAGGCATAAGCTCAGACTAAAAGACTGAGGCATAGTCGTAGGACTACAGAAGGCTTCCGTCCGCTCCCTAAACACCATATCACTACATGACTGAAGGTTTTATTCACAGCCTTTTACTCATGTGAGCTATCAAGAAAAAAAAAAAAAATTACAAAATGTACCCAAAAAGCACAAACACAATTTCAAACACAATTTGAAGAGACAGAACAAACTTCAGAACCAGACACAGCAGGGACGTTACAGTCTGCAGACTGGTAATTTAAAACAACTCTGACTAATATGCTAAAGGCTCTAATGGATAAAGTAGATGTCATGCAAGAACCAAAGCAATGCAAGCAGAGAGATAGAAATCCTAGTAAAAAAACAAAGAGGAAATAATACAAATCAAGACACTAAGAAAATTAAGAATGCCTTTGATTAGCTTATTAGTAGGCTGGACATGGCTAAGGAAAGAATCTGGGCCTAAGGATGCATCAGAAAATCCTCTAAAATGAAATCAAAGAGAACAGACTAAAAAACAAAAAGAATACTTAACAATTGTGAGACAATTACAAACAGTATAACATGTGAAACAGAAATAACAGAAGAAGAGAGAAAGAAACAGAAGAAATATTGGAAATAATAATTTGCCCAATACCAGAAACCAACCACAGATCCGGAAGCTCAGTCTAAACCAAGTAGAATAAATGTCCCCCAAAATTTTATCTAAGCATATCATTTTCAAACTATAAAAATCAAAGATTAAAAAAAATACTGAAAGAAGTCAGAAGAAAAAAACAATCCCTAACTTACAGCTACAGGAATGAAGTTAAGAATTACATTTGACTTCTCCTCAGAATACATACAAGGTGAGAAGAAAATGGAGCAAAATATTAAAGTGTTGAGAGAAAAAGCCCACCAACCTAGAATTTTGCATCTTGGGAAATTAACCTTCAAAACTGAAGAAGAGGGCCTCTCTGGTGGCGCAGCGGTTGAGCGCTGGGTTGCGAAGCTGCCCGCAGCCTCTGCAGCATTGGTTCGATCCCCGGCTGCTCCCCAGCCACCGGAGGAGGGTTCCCACATGGCGCGCAGACCTCTCCTGCCGCCCGCTGCTCCCCTCAGTAGTGTGCTTCAGTCCTTCTGCCTGCCCTGCTCCCCGCTCTGGCTCTGGTGAGTTCTCTCACCCTCCCGTGCTTCTGACTGTACCCAGTGCTTGTATGTATGTATGTATGTGTGTATGTATAAATAAATAAATCTTAAAAAAAAAAAACAAACAAACAACTGAAGAAGATATAAAGACTTTGTCAAGCAAATAAGAATTAAGGAAATTCGTTGCCAGTAGATGTGGCTTACAAGTAATGTCAGATACAAAGAAAATAATACTAGACAGAAACTCAGATCTATATTCATTAAGAATGGAACAGCATTGAAGAAGGAATAAACAAAAATAAAGTGAAAACTTTTATTCTTAATTGATGTAACAGAAAAATTGGCTCAAAAAATAACAATAATAAATGGGATTATGGATGGATGAATGAGACACATAGGTGAAAATCAATAGCAACAACATTTCTGTGAAAGGAATTAGGATTACTTCATTATTATAAGATACAATGCTGCCTGTAAAGTGATTTAGTGTGTTTTGAAAATGAACTTGGATTAATGTAGGGAAACTACTAAATGTAGGGAATGTAGGAAACAACTTAGATGAAGCATTGGGTATCAGAAGTTGAGAGAATTTGCAGAATTAACTGTAGAAAAGGGAGCAATCGAACCAGCGCTAAACCCAGCGCTGTAGGGAAACAACATTTTAAATGTAGGGAAATGTAGGGAAACTACTAAAAAAAATTTTTTTTAAAGAGCATAACTATGTTAAAAAAAGAAAATGGAATCTAATAAAATGTTCAATTAAAGACAGAAGAAAGAAGAACAAGGCTGAAACAAAGAACAAAGGCAACACATAGAAAACTTTTGCAAATATAGAAGATATTAATCCAAGCGGAGCAATAACCACTGAACATTAATGGCCTAAATGAAGCAACTGAAAGATGTTTTCAGAGTTAAAAAACAAAACACCCCAACTACATGCTGTCTATAAGAAATGCATTGTAAAAATAGAAAAAGAATAAAAGGTTCAATTCTCCAAGAAGACTTAACAATTCTCAACATGTACCTACTTAACAAAAGAACATCAAAATACACAAGGCAAAACCTGACAGAACTACAAGGAGAAATAGATGTACCTATTACCATAGATAGAGACTTCAACACTATCAGAAACGGACTAATCCATTAGTCAGAAAATTAGTAAAGACATAGCTGAAATCCTGAACATCATCAGGCAAGTGGACAGGAACTCAGGTCTATAGTCATTAAGAAGGAAGAGCAGGGGCCTCCCTGGTGGCGCAGGCAGTTGAGCTCCACACTGTGAAGCTGTTCACAGCCTCTACAGCACGGGTTCGATCAGAACACCACATGGCAAAGCAGACCTCTCCTGTCTCGCCCGCTGCGCGTATTTCATCAGTCTGCCTGTTCTGCTCCCCACTCTGTCTCTGGTGAATCATCTCACCCTCCCGCACATCTGGCCTGTACCCCAGTTCTTGTATAAAAATAAAATCTTTAAAAAAAAAAAAAGAATGGAAGAGCACTGAGGAAGGAATTAACAAAAATATAGTAAAAACTTTTATTTTTAATTGATGTAACAGAAAAATTTATAGTCTACAGACTATTTTATCCATCAATAGTGAATACACATTATTCTCAAATTATCATGGAACAATACCAAGATATACCAACTTCTGGGCCATAAAGTGGACCTTAAAATAACTGAAAGAAAAAAGAAATTATGTAACATCTGCCCTCAGAACACAAAAGAAATTAAGCAAGAAATCAGTAACAGAAAGATATCTTGAGGATTCCAAAATACACAGAGATGAAACAACACATTTCCAAGTAACACACAGATCAAAGAAGAAATCTCAAGAGAAATTTAAGGTATTTTTAATTAAGTGAAAAGGAAAACTCAACTTAACAATCTTTATGGGATAGTGAAAGCAGTGCTTAGAGCTTTGAATGCAATACTAGAAAAAAAGAAATATCTGAAATCAACAATTTAAGCTTCCACCTTAGTAATCTACAAAAAGAAAATTAAATCCAAAGCAAGGAGAAGAAAAACAGAAAGAATCAGAGTAAAAAATGAAATGAAACTGAAAGCAGATAATCAACAGAAATATTAATGAAGCCAAAAGTTGGTTCTTTGAAGAGATAATAAGCTTCTAGTCTAGCTACCCAAGAAAAAAAGGACATAAATTATTAACATAAGAAATAAAAGGGACATAGTTACAGAGCCCATGGATGTTAAAATAACAAAGGAATGCTATGAACAATTCTATGCATATAAACATGATAACCTAGATGAATGGATGAACTCCCTTGAAAGGTACAATCTGCCGGCCCTCCCCTGGTGGCGCAGGCGGTTGGGGGCCGCGCTGTGAAGCTGTCTGCAGCCTCTATAGTGCAGGTTCGATCCCGGCCAGCTGGCCAGGGTCCCACATGGCGGGGCAGACCTCTCCTGTCGCGCCTGCTACTCCTCTCAGCAGTGTATTTCGTCAGTCTGCCTATTCTGTTTCATGCTCTGTCTCTGGTGAATCCTCTCACACTCCCGTGCATCTGGCCTGTACCCCAGTTCTTATATAAAATAAATAAGTAAATCTTTAAAAAAAAAAAAAAGGTACAATCTGCCAAAACTCACACAAAAAGAGACAACCTAAATACCCCTATATCCATAAAAGAAATTGAATCAATAACTAATAACTCAAATCCAAATGGGTTTGCTAGTGAACTCCACAAAAAAAATTAAAGGAAAAAAATTATATGAATTCTCTGCAATCTCTTTCAGAAATCAGAAACAGGAATTATTTTCTAACTCATTTAATGGGGCCAGAATTATTATAATACTAAAATCACTTTAAGATCACATACCTCAATTTCCAATTAACATTGATGCAAAAATCCTCAACAAAATATTGAATTCAACATTATATAAAAAGAGACATATACTATGACCAAGTGTGACTTATCCCAGCTATTCAAGATGGATTCACAGTTTAAAACAAAGAAAATAGGGCCTCCCATGTGGTGCAGCGGTTGAGTGCTGGGTTGCGAAGCTGCCCGCAGCCTCTGCAGCATCACTTCGATCCCTG